GGTCCCACAGTGCATGCTGGGAAGCCTGTTGGAGGACAGATACTGTAGCTGAGTGAAGAGGCTGAACTGATAGTTACTGTGATGTTACATGCTGAGTCAGATACAGGACTGGAGGAATACTCCACAGCTCCCAGCTACTCTGGCTGTCACACACAGATTGTGTGTGTGTGTGTGTGTGTGTGTGTGTGTGTGTGTGTGTTTGCTTGTTTAGCTGTTAACACAGTAGTTCTTGAACCACTTGATGAGTTTTAATGAAACTCTTGGAAAATAATCATGGTGGTACTGTAAGTGGATAGTACTTTATATTTTATGACTTTACAGCTTTGGTTCTYCTTTACTTTGGATCAAGTCAAGGTTGTTTTTAGCAGCCATGCTCAGGAAAAGCTTCCTGCTGAGCTTCACACAGCAGGCAGTCATACAGTAGTTAAGATGTCTCCTGACTAAAAGCACTAATAACTTTAATACCTGAGGGCTTTTTTTAAGAAGTTCTACYTTTCAAAGTAYATTTGGCAAATTACCTCTGAACCARCTCTCTGCTGATCATTAACTTTCAGAGACACTTTATTAATTTCACCTACAAAACTTTTACAAACAAACATTTCTGCTGTGGTTTGAGTTGTTTTCTTTGAGCCAAAAACTGAAACAACTATCAGTGGTTAATGTTTTATTGATCTATTTTTACAACTTTTTGTCAGCACTAAAAGTTGGCACAGCAGTTTTTTCTGCTTATTCCTGTTTAACCTTGATTCAACACTTCATGTTAATGTTGTCTCCTCAGCTGTTTAAAACTAAAACTCTTCAAAGCTAAAGTTTGTCCCTGAAGTCCAACACCCACTAATTTAATCCCAAGTGCTCTTAAGGGATAGTCACTGTTGTAGAATGCAATGATTACTATATAAATTTTTATTTATTTATTTATTTATTTATTTATTTATTTATTTATTTTGCATTTGGACTACACAAGTGTTAAAAAAACAGACAAACCAATCATGGAAACACTATAGCACATTGCTGATGATTACCAAAGACTTTTTAAAGAGTTTTTTTGGATGAATTACAGTAATCCAGTCTAGACGTGATAAACTCATGGATCAGTTTTTCCTCGTAATTTTTGGACGAGATGTTTCTAATTTTAGTGATATTACGCAGATGGAAGAAGGCGGTCCTGGTAACATTTTTAATGTGGGGGTTAAAAGACATATCCTGATCAAAAATAACACCAAGGTTCTTTACATTAGAACTGGAGGTCAGATTAATGCCATCCAGAGAAGGTGAAAGGCTACAAGGATGATCCTTAAGATGTTCAGGTCCAAAAACCATAACCTCTGTCTTATCTGAGTTRAGAAGCAGAAAGAAAAACATACTACTGATGGTATGATGTCATCATCTCAGAGTTTAAGCAGATTTGTTTTTTGATGGGTCAGGACTGTTTTCATGKCATTTAACACTTTTCTTTTACTTCCTTCTACCTCTCAGTTTAGTTAACTTAACCCRTACTTAAGTCTGATATTAAAGTCCTCATCTTATTCTACAAAGTTTATTTTTAAATGGCTGTTGCTGTTTTTACTCCTCTGTGCAGAACTTAACCCAATGATACTATTAAAATGCATTTCACYCTTTGCCTTGATGAGAACAGTCGTATTCTAACTTTCATTGTGCAGTTAAAACATGAGAGGACACAAAAATAAAATATCTGTTGTAAGGGTTTATACTTACARTTCTTATAACAAGGTTATAAGAGTAATTTAWTTAGCAAGGATCTCTTAWTTTGGATAAACATTTCTTTAGTGCAAAAATGAATGGACACAAAAAGTAACTCTCAGTCAGTGAATGTTGATTTGAACCATAATATGCAATCATTTATTTTACAAATCATACAAAATTGACTAGACTACACCTGATTGTGAACAATTAATTTCCTATAAA